GGAGAAGAGACAGAGAGGAAGATCCTCTGTCCGATGGTTCACTCCACAAGTGAGTGCAATGGCTGGGGCTGAGCCAATCTGAAGCCAGGCGCCAGGAGCTCCTCTGGTCTCCCACGCGGGTGCAGGGTCCCAAGGCTTTGGGCCGTCCTCAACTGCTTTCCCAGGCCACAAGCAGGGAGCTGGATGGGAAGCGGGGCTGCTGGGATTAGAACCGGCGCCCATATGGGATCCTGGCGTGTGCAAGGTGAGGACTTTACCCACTACGCTATCGTGCCAGGCCCCAAATAAAGTAAATCTTAGAGGAAGAAGAAGAAGACGACGACGAAGAAGAAGAAGGAGAAATAGCATAAAAGACCAAGGAATTTTCCATCTGCTGGTTCACATCTAGATTGCTTGTGCCGACCAGGACTGACCCAGTCTGGAGCCTGTAGTCTGATATCTGTCTGGGTCTCCCACACGAGCACCAGGGGCCTCAGTACCTGCTGCCTTCCTGGATGCTCATGAGAGGGTAGTTGGATCAGAAGCAGAGGCGGGACTTGAACCAAGCACTCCAGAATGGGACGTGGATGTCCCATGAGGCGTCTTAACCACTGAGTCACACACTCAACCCTGATTAGAGTTGATTTCTAAATCTGTGAATGGGACTAAATTAGTATTGGCTGTTATACAAAATAATATGAAGGGTGCAGGAGCTCAAGCACTTGGACTGTCCTCTGCTGCTTTCCCAGGTATTAGCAGGGAGCTGGATTAGCATTGGAGCAGCTAGGACTCACACCAGTGCCCATATGGGATGCTGGTACCACAGGCAATGGCTTAACCAGTTAGGCCACAGTGCCAGCCCCTATTTGACTTTAAAAAAAAAAAAGGAAACCCTGCCATTTGTGACTACTATGTGAATGAACCTAGAGAACATAATGGTCAACTCCTCAAATGCCTGCATGTGACAGGCTGTGCTGAAGCCAGCTGCAGAGGGGCTGCAGGGGCTGAGCACATCGGCCATCGTCCCCTGCTTCCCAGGATGCATTGGTCTGCCACTTGCAGGGAAGTGGAGGAGCCAGGACTCAAACCAGCTCTCTGATATGCGATGTAAGCCTTCCGAACAGTGGCTTAACCTGCTGCACCATGACACCTACCCCCTATTCTTGAAAACCATTGAGGACAGATTTTAGATGTTTTCATCACAAAAAACAACCACAAGAAAAAGAAAACATGTGAGTGTATATGTTAATAATCTTAATTTAACCACAATGTATGCACGTTTCAAAACAGTGTTGTCCATGGCAAGTATATATAATTATTCTTTGTCCACTTAAAACAAGTATTAAACTATATGTGGATTAATCTTATGTAACTTGTTTCCTAATTGAATCAGCAGAGCAGTCATTCATTCAGTCTTAGCCCAAGTTCAAAGCCAATAAACTTGCTCTAAGGTGACTTTCAACATTTCAACACTGAAAGAGTTATTTGTGCTACTTTTTGTGCCTTTGAATTCATTTTTTACTTTTTAAATCTTGAGTCAATGTTAGAATTCTTTCACCAGTTCCTCAAATGGCATTACACCCTTGATATAGTATTTCTAAAATTAAAGTGTGGGTTTTTTTTTCCCCTCAAGTCAGCATTTCAAAAATGACAGGACTATTCTAGACACTCTAAAAAGATTCTCAACTAAAATTTATAGCAAACTTCAAAAGACCTCAAGCAGCCAAAGCCATCTAAAAGAAAAACAACCCTGAAGCCATTAGCTTCCTGATCTCGAACTATATCACAATACTATAGTAATCAAAACAGAATGACATACAGACACACAGAACAATGGGATAGAACAGAGAGCCCAGAAATAACCAATGAGTATAGTGAGATAATCTTTGACAAAAGTGCCAGTAATACACAAATGGGGAAAGGACAGAGGGCCCAGTGTGATAGCCTAGTGGCTAATCCTAGCCTTGCACGTGCCAGGAACCCCTATGGGTGCCAGTTTGTGTCCTGGCTGATCCACTTCCCATCCAGCTCCCTGCCTGTGGCTTGGGAAAGCAGTAGAGAATGGCCCAAAGCCTTGGGATCCTGCACCTATGGGTGAGACCCTGGAGAAGTTCCTGGCTTCAGATAGGCTCAGCTCTGCTCTGGCCATTGCGGCTACTTGGGGAGTGAGCCAACAGATGGAAGATCTTTCGCTCTGAATCTCCATCTCTCTGTAAATCTGCCTTTCCAATTAAAAAAATAAATGAATTTTGAAAGAAGGGAAGATAGAGAGAGAAAAGAAAGAAAGAAAGAAAGAAAGAAAGAAAGAAAGAAAGAAAGAAAGAAAGAAAGAAAGAAAGAAAAGAGTAGAATAGAAAAATAGGAGGAAAGAAAGAAGGAAGGAAGGAAGGAAGGACAGAGAAATAGAATTGGGAATCAGAATTTTCACACACAAGAGAATAAAATTGGACTCATGTTTTACACTGTGCACAAAAATTAACTTGAAATAGACTTTCGTGAAAGACCCGATGCCATAAAACTCCTAAAAGAAAACCCAGAGAAAAAGGTCCTTGACATTGCTTTGCCAATGATTCTTTTAAATAGGACACCAAAAGCACAAGCAATGAACTCAGAGATAAAGGAATGATACCACACAGCAAACAACCGAGTAAAGACACAGCCTTTGTAACAAGAGAAAACAGCTGAAAATCATGTATTTAAAAGGTGTTAATACCTAAAATATACAAGAAAATCATTAAAATAGCAAAAGCAAATAGGTTGATTTAAAGTAGACACTTTTCCAAAGAAGACTTAAAAATGGACATTGAGTAAAATAAATGCACAGCAGTTCTTATTATTGGGGAAATACAAATCAAAACCACAGTATCACCTAACATCTATCACAACAGGCATTATTCAAAATAAGAGAAGGGAGGGGCCAGCACCATAGCACAAATGGTGCCGGCATCCCATAGGGATACCAGTTCATGTCCCAGCTGCTCCACTTCCAGTCCAGCAACCTGTGTATGGCCTTAGAAAGCAGCAGCAGATGGCCCAAGTTTTTGGGTTCCTGCACCCATATGGGAGATCTGGAGGAAGCCTCTGTCTCCTAGCTCCTGGTTCCTGACTTTGGACTGGCCCAGCTCTGGCCACTGCAGTAGCCATTTGGGAGTGAGCCAGAAGAAGAAAGATTGCTTTGTGTGTGTGTGGTGTATGTGTGTGTTTTTTCTCTCTGTAAATCTGCTTTTAAAATAAAAATAAATAAATCTATAAAAAAAAAGAGAGAGAGAGAGAGAGAAAGATTGATTCTGAGAGAGAAAGTGAATTTTGGCAAGGGTGACTAGCAAAGAGAACCCTGCCAGTAGAAATATAAATTGGAAGACATCATGGACAACAGCACAGAAAAGTCCTCAAAAGGCTTAGAACTCAGGGTGGGCATTTGGTGTGGTGGTTAAGATGTGGGATGTCCACAGCCCATATGGGAGTACCTGGGTTCAAGTCCCAGCTCTGCTCCTGATTCCAGCTTCCTGCTAATATGCACCTGACTTCAGTCCTGTCTATTGCAGTCATTTGGGAAACAAACCAGCAAATGAAATATCTCTTTCTCTCCGGCCACTCTTTCAAATAATTTTTTTTTAATGTCAACTATCATATGACCCATCAATCTCACATTGAGATGTACCTGAGTGCTCCAAATAGTTTGTAGGAAAATGAAATTGAAAGAGAAGTTTATAGGGCCTGTGCTATAGCATAGCGAGTAAAGTCTCTGCCTGAAATATTAACATTCCAAGTGTGTAACTGTTCATGTTTCAGCTGTTCCACTTCCAGTCCAGCTCCCCACTAATAGTCTGAGAAAAGCAACAGAAGATGGACCGAGTCTTTGGGTGCTGACACCCATGTGGGGGACCAAAATGAAGCCCCTGACTTCTGGCTTTGGCCTGGCCTGCCTCTAGCTGTTGCAGCCATCAGGGGAGCGAATTGCAAGATGGAGAATCAATCTCTATTTCTCTCTCCCTCCCTCTGTAACTCTAAAATAAAACTATCAATAAATACTTTTTAAAATGCAGAGACAAAATTTATATCAATACAAAAATTTGAAACTCATACAAAGGTTGTTTCACAATATCCACTTTCCAAGAACTTTTTGAAGCTTCTTTGCACATCCAAAGGCAATGTAGTTTCCTGAAGCTGTCACCACCCCCACATGGACCGCAGCATTAGTTACTGCCATCAAGATACAGAAACGGGGCCAGGCACGATAGGGTAGTGGTTAAAGTCCTGACCTTGCACATGCCAGGATTCCATATGGTCGCTGGCTCTAATCCGGACAACCCTGCTTCCCATCCAACTCCCTGCTCGTGGCCTGGGAATGCAGTTGAGGACAGCCCAAAGCCTTGGGACCCTGCACCTGCACCCAGAAGAAGCTCCTGACTGCTGGCTTCGAATTGGTGCAGCTCCAGCCATTGCAGCCACTTGGGGAGTGAATCATCGGACGGAAGATTTTTGTCTCTGTCTCTCCTCCTCTCTGTATATCCGCCGTTCCAATAAAAATTTTAAAAATCTTAAAAAAGAGAGAGAGAGAGAAATATGTGTTCCACTTCCTGCTTCTGCTTTCTGTGTTGCTGTGGGGCTTGGTTTCCTTCTAGGCACATTTGGCCTGTCTGCTGATGCTGCTGCTGCTGCTGCTGCTGCTGGATTCCTCAGACAGGATGAGGTCTCTGCGCCTCAGTCCAGACATCCCAGGAAGCCTGAGCTGAGGAAGATCCTGCACAGTCAGTGGAGATCTCTGGCACCAGCTCCTTCCTTCATGGCAGCATGACTGAGGACCAGAAGGCACAGGAGGAGAGGCCAGGACACGGTGCCAGACCAGCCACCCTGAGCTGGGAATGGCTCTGGCAGGTGAGAAGCAGGGCAGGCACTCCAAGGCAACAGCGGGGCAGACTCCACTCTGTGGAAGACATGCTAAGGCCGATGTCACAATCAATTGTGAACTCACACCTCTCCCTTCACTCATGTCACTCAAGTCAGGCCTTAGGAAGCAGAGAAATCTGGGCTAAGAAACCATCTGGAAGCAGACCATGGGGATTCGATTTTGTGTAAGAGACATGACCACATGTACCTGGGAGTTAAGGATGGGTGAGCAACAGCTGGGCTCCACAGGTCTCGCACAAGAGAAGGCAGACACCACACTGCAGTCCTAACCCAGCTGTGTGCTTCTTCCCATTTTTCCTCTGATGACAGGTTGACGGACAGTTCATGATCGTTGAAATTGAGGATACTGAAGAAATAACTGAATGGCGTCTTAGAGAGGCGAAGAGAAAGAAGCAGCAGGTGGGTAGAATTCCTTGTTGCTAAGAGAAATCAGGACATTGGTGTGCACATATTTTGCCCCTTGTCTCAACTCATCAAGCATCAGTAATTCATTTCCACTTCCCCTCCTTAGCCTGATCCCCTGAGTCATGCACTGAGTGTCACAGTGAAGCCAGGTCATCCGCTATAACATGGTGGGTAGAGATAGAAGGACGTGGGGATTCTTAATCTAAGAGCAGAACGTTCCATGTGGGAGTTAACAGAGCATGTGCTGAGGGAATAAAACTCCCCAAGACCTGGCCACAGCTCTGTTATGGCTCCAAGCTCAGTGAAGCACGCTGAGACTCTGAGGGCGCAGCGATGGGGCTTCCTGGCAGGTGATGGTCACCATCGATACGCTGGCTTTCATTAGATCCCTGCTGATCCCTCTCTGAGAGAGGGCTGATATTCACACAGAATCCTAACACTGGAATTGTGGCAAATCAGTTGAAAATTACCACCTGTGGCAGGACATCCATTATGTCCAAACCTTGGAGGGCAGCAGAACACAAGACCTGGGGTTGCTGCATCCAGGGGAAAACACAGAAACTCCCAGCACTTGGTTTTGGGCTGGCCCAACTCTGGCCATGGAGGCCATTTGGGAAGTAAAACAAAGATAGAAGATCTAGTCCTCAGTATCTATCTCTCTCTCTCTCTCTCTCTCTCTCTCTCTCTCTCTCACTCGCACACGCGTCTCACTCTGCCTTTTTTTTTTTTAAGATTTATTTCATTGAAAAGGCAGATGTACAGAGAAGGAGAGACAGAGAGGAAGATCTTCTGTCCGATGATTCACTCCCCCAAGTGACCTCAACGGCTGGAGCTGCGCCAATCCGAAGCCAGGAGCCAGGAACATCCACGTGGGTGCAGGGTCCCAAGGCTATGAGCCATTCTCGACTGCATTCCCAGACAGGGAGCGAGATGGGAAGTGGAGCTGCCAGGATTATAACCAGCGCACATGTAGGATCTTGCAATGTTCAAGGCGAGGACTGTAACCATTACTCTATCACGCCAGGCCTCATTCTGCCTTTCGAAGAATTATAAATAAGTTTTAAAATAAGAGGTGAGATTTCAGGGGCAGGTATTTGGTGCAATGGTTTGGTCACCACTGCGGGTACCCGCATTTCTAGTCCCAGTGTCCATTTTCAAGACATGGCTCTGCTCACCAATTCAGTTGCCTGCTTATGCACCTTCTGAGAAGCAACAGATGAAACTCAAGAAACTGGGTCCTACATTATACAGCAGTCCCAGGCTGAATCTTGGCCCTGGGTTGCAAGACATGAACTTAGCAATGTCTCTTCTTTCTGTCTAGAAAAAATCAAAGAAAAAAGAAACAGCAGCAGCCATAAAGATCCAGGCCTGGTGGCGTGGCACCCTGGTGCGCCGCACGCTGCTGCACATGGCTCTCAGGGCCTGCATCATCCAGCGCTGGTGGAAGATGACCCTGCTGAGAATGCTGGAGAAGAAGCGGCGAGCTGCGCTGCAGGCCTACGCACAGAGGGAGAGGGCAGTGACCAAGCTCCAGTCCTTGGTGCGCATGTGGCGCGTCCACTGGCGATACTGCCAGGTGCTCAATGCTATCTATGCCATCCAATACCACTGGCAGTGCCATAACTGCCAGACATGTGCACAACTCCAGTGCCACTGTGTGGTCACCGCCACCCACCTGCAGTTCCACATCGAGATCAGTCACTTCTAATTTGACCAACAGCATGCTCTCTCCTGTCAAAAGTAAACATCACTCAGATCTGGTGTGCTGCCTATGGTCTTCTGGCTAAGAGAAACTTCACCTTTGGGCCTTGCTGCCCTTCCTCCCCCTCCCTCCCTTAACCTTCTTCCTCCTCCTCATCCTTAGACACTGAACTGTGCCAGCAGGGTCTGTGCACCTTGGTTTAGAGTGACAGTAGCCGTGTGCCACTCACTCCATTGTCACAACAGAAACTCTCCTGCTGTGTGACAAAGCTCAAAATTCCAGGCCGGTCCCTTTCAGATCATGAGACACCCATGATACAGGCACATCACCTTCCTGAAGAGCATGGGCTCCTCCACACACGTCTGGACAGACTGTGAAAAATGGCTCTGACAGCACAGGCCAGGGGCAGCTGGGCCTTTGATGCCTCAGTTTACTCCTTGGCAAGGATGGAGAGAGAACATCAGGATACAGCTGATTCTTCCTGGAGCCTGAACAGTACAGCCCAGTTGAGTACCAGGAAGTGCCCTTAGAGGTAGAAGAAGGATGGACTGCATCTGCTGATGGGCAGGTGATGATCCTAAGAACTAGTGATTTCTCAGGTTAGAACACCTCACTTTTAGCTTTAGTTCCTCTTTAATGTTATTCTTATCAAAATACTTCCTTTTATGGCATCACTGCTGTAGCACAGCAGCTTCAGGCTCTGCCTACAGTGCCACCATCTCATGTGCACACTAGTTGAAGTCTTGGATGCTCAACTTGCAATCTATCTCCCGACTTACGGCCTGGTGGAAAGCAACAGATGATGCCCCAAATTTCTTGGGCCTCTCTGCCCAAATAGAAGACTATAAAGGAACTCCTTACTCCCAGTTGGGACCAGCCCAGCTCCAGCCATTGCAACCATCTGGGGAGTGAACCAACAGATGCAAGCTCTCCCTTTAGCTTTCCTTCTCTCTCTGTAACGACCTTCCAAATAAAGATAAATAAATCTTTTTTAAAAAAAATATACTTCCTTTTCAAAAATGTTTATTAATTTGGAGGCAGAAAGCCAGGGGCAGAAATCCTTGGACCCTCCACCTACATGGGAGATCCATACAAAGCTCCCTTCCATTCCCTTCCTCTTCCCCATCTCCTTTTCCTCTTCTTCCTCTTCCCTCCTTCTCTTCCTCCTCTTCCTCTTCTCTCTCTCTCTCACACACACCATGTCTCTCTGTCTCTCAAAGACATTTTTGAAAATCAAGATCCTCTAAAATAAAAGTTGAGACAGCTCCTCACAGGGACACCTGCTCTCCGAGACCAGGGAGCATTCCAGCTGCAATAAAAGGCATGTTGAGAGCGACATGGAGCCACATGAAGAAATCAACAGCGCTGGGAAAGGGAACACGCAAGGTAGACACTGAAGAAAGTCTACATGTGCTTCCTGCCTTCCCTTCTCTCCTCTGATTTAAAAGATAATTGAATAAAGCAATGATTACTAATTTGTGTGGATGGTCTCTCAATGTGTAAAGAGTAAATCAAGCCCCATAAAGGAGTGGAAAGGCACCGCATTTTCCTCGGAAACCTTTGATATTACTACTTCAAGTGAGATTGTTGAACATTGAGATGATAGTTATAATCCTAGGTCAATCTTAAGTAAGTAATCTTAAAATGTAAAAAGACCATGCTGTGGCATGATGAGCTAAGCATTTTTGCAGTGCCAGCATCCCAAATGACTGCCAGTTTGAATATAAGTTGCTCTACTTCCAATCCAGCTACCGCTTGCTAATGTGTCTGGTAAATCAGCAAAATATATACCAAGTCCTTAGACTCCTACATTCAATTCAAGACCTAGAAGAGGCACCTAGCTCTGGCTTTGGACCAACCATTGCAATCATTTGGGGAGTGAACCAGCAGGTGGGAGCTCTCTGTCTCTCCTCTCTCTACATATCTGCTTTCCAAATAAAACCAAATGGGTATAAAAAATAAAAAGTAAAAAAAAAAAAAAAGGATGAGGAGCTAAAATGGTAACCAGCAGGTATCTACATGGCTCAGAAAAGGATAGCTCATGTTCTTAGATTGGAAATGTCAGACTGCAATACTGGCCAGTACATGCAAGAACTGGGTTGTGGGCAGATCAGGCAAGCTAGGCTGCAGCATGTACTGGTGTGTCCCTGCCAGGTCTGGGGGCCAGCCTGGTAGGGGTATTAGAGAGTCATCTCAACCCAATCAGAATGTTCCCTAGTGGATGTGAGCCAGGTCTCAGGTTAGGCTGCATTGGGCTATGGCTCCCACCAGTGCACTTGAAAGCTGGGTCTGGGGAACAGCCTGTTAGGGGTTCACGGGGTTGCCCCGATTGGGCCATGATACCCACTGGTGTATATGAGAGCCAATCTGGGGGTGGACTGGGTCAGACCAATGTACCTGCCTGCGCTAACAGGAATTGGGGCTAGGGGCTAACCTGTTAGGGGTCTTAGAAACGCCCCCAACCCTGCTGATACACTTGCAGAAACATTCAGGAAATAGCTCAGGCAGCCATTTGGACCAGACTACAGCACTACCAAAGAAAGTGATAATTGGAGCTGGGGGTGGGCCAGATAGAGTAGCCTAGGCAGAGTAGGCCCTTAAATTGCATGAAATACCTTAGACTGACAGGATCCCAACCTCAGGGAACCAGCCATGGATGTGTGGTCTGAGCGCAGAGCGCAGGTTGTGGGACTAGGCCACCCCTGTAGCTGACTCCCAGAGAAAAGATGAAGGAGATACCCAGAAGCACATGAAACACAAGACAACTGTTTCCTGCAATCCAACAGAAGACTTCAAGTTCCTTTTCAAGGGATTGGGAAAAAAACATAGTACTTCAGGCCAAGTTCTACGGAAAGCACCTAGGCCCAAGGACACTCTGAGAAAGACACGGACAACCAACAGGCCTCGGAACTTATACAGAGAGAACCAGGAAGAACCACTCTGAGGACAAATGGAATCTGTCACCTGTTACACAACAACCACTCAACATCCTGGGGCATTCGCTCCGAGGGTGTGCCTGCATAGACCGGGCCGGTGAGGCAGCATCAATAGACCATCTCCATCCTCTGCCATTAACATAATCAAATAGCAAGGAGCTGGACACCCCTACCCCACCATTCCACTACACACATATCTCCTCACTGCCTCTCCTTCTCCCTAACCCTCTCCATCCCTACCAGGGGCCCAAATGAGTCTGAAATCCCCATCTCCTCACCTCTGTGATAAACATTTAAAAATTAGTGATTTTGTTGTGAAACAAATTATAAAAAAGTGAAGTCTCTGTATCAGAAACACAATTCTATCCCTGCCACCACCTGAGCAAAAAATCCTAAAAAGATCACATACAAATCCCAGCAGGGTGTATCAGAAATTTAACTATGGCCTCTCAAATGCTTGACAGAACTTTTTATCACTTAGATGATCTATGGTTTCCACCGTCTTGGTGCCTGTGGAGCCTACTGGGTACAGGACTTCTAGAAGACAACCATGTCTGGAAGACCGGTGCAAGGCCATTTATGCAGGCTACAACTGAGGTTTCCAGATCCAAAGGGAATGCACGGCACTGCTTAAAATTGAAGGTTTTTATGCTCGGGATGAAACTCAATTCCACTTGGGCAAGAGGCGTGCCTACGCGTACAAAGCAAAGAACAACATAGTGACCCCTGGCAACAAACCTAACAAAACTAGAAACATCTGGGGAAAGGGAATTCATGCTCATGGAAGCAGTGGCGTGGTTCATGCCAAGTTCCAAAGCAACCTCGCTGCAAAAGCCATTGAATACAGAACTCAAGTGATACTGCACCTCTCAAGAGTATAACTATAAAAAACAAATAAATAAAATGGAAAAAAAATAATGTCTGTAAAGGTTTAAGCCCCACTGGAAATAAGTACCAGATGTGCTAAGGTTTCCCAAGTTCGGAGAGAACCTTCTCATCCCTTATGGATCCTCTCAACTTCTCAAGTCTTAGCAATTTAATTCAAAAATATTGGCAATTTATTATGGAAGAACTCACTCCAGACTCAACTGACTAACCCTCCACCTCCAAGTGCTAAGATCTATATGGGTGCCGATTTGTGTCCCGGCTACTCCACTTACCATCTAGCTCCATGCTTCAGGCCTGGAAAAGCAGTGCAGAAAGGACCAAAGCCTTGGGACTCTGCACCTGTGTAGGAAGGCCAGAAGAGGCTCCAGACTCCTGACTTCGGATCAGCACAGCTCCAGCCCTTGCAGCCACTTGGGGAGTGAACCAGCAGGTGGAAGTTCTTTCTCTCTGTCTCGTCTTTGTAGATCTGCCTTTTCAATTTAAATAAGTAATCAAAAACAACAAACAAACAAAAAAGACAAAACCCAACCCTGCTCTCTCAGGTGGGCGGCAGAGACCCAGTTGCTTGAACCATCACCAGCTACCTCCAGGAAGATGGAACTGGGAGGAGAGCCAGCACTCACCCAGCTCTGCAGCAACGGATGCTCACATCCCAAACACCATCTTGAACACTAGGCCAATCACCTCCTACGAAAATCTCACCCTTGAAATATGTGTTCCACTTCCTGCTTCTGCTTTCTGTGTTGCTGTGGGGCTTGGTTTCCTTCTAGGCACATTTGGCCTGTCTGCTGATGCTGCTGCTGCTGCTGCTGCTGCTGGATTCCTCAGACAGGATGAGGTCTCTGCGCCTCAGTCCAGACATCCCAGGAAGCCTGAGCTGAGGAAGATCCTGCACAGTCAGTGGAGATCTCTGGCACCAGCTCCTTCCTTCATGGCAGCATGACTGAGGACCAGAAGGCACAGGAGGAGAGGCCAGGACACGGTGCCAGACCAGCCACCCTGAGCTGGGAATGGCTCTGGCAGGTGGGAAGCAGGGCAGGCACTCCAAGGCAACAGTGGGGCAGACTCCACTCTGTGGAAGACATGCTAAGGCCGATGTCACAATCAATTGTGAACTCACACCTCTCCCCTCACTCATGTCACTCATGTCAGGCCTTAGGAAGCAGAGAAATCTGGGCTAAGGAACCATCTAGAAGCAGACCATGGGGATTCGATTTTGTGTAAGAGACATGACCACATGTACCTGGGAGTTAAGGATGGGTGAGCAACAGCTGGGCTCCACAGGTCTCGCACAAGATAAGGCAGACACCACACTGCAGTCCTAACCCAGCTGTGTGCTTCTTCCCATTTTTCCTCTGATGACAGGTTAATGGAAACATAATATTGATTGATGTTGAGGAAGTCGAAGAAATAACCTACTGGTATATTCAACAGAGAAGAAAAAAGGTAAATAGAATTCCATGTTGCTAAGAGAAATCAAGAGATTTGTGTGCACATATTTTTCCCCTGGTGGATCCATCATCTGAATTCATCAGGCATCAATCATTCATTTCCATTTCCCCTCCTCAGCTTGGTCCCTCTGAGTCAGGCCTAACTGTCACACAGAGAGTCCCAGTGGAAAAGCAGGATCATCCGCTATAACATGGGCAGAGATGGGAGGCCGTGGGGACTCTTAATCCAAGAGCAGAATGTGTGGGGTGAGCGGAGCATGTTTTGAGGAAGCTTCCAAAGACGAGGGCATGTTAGAGAGAAAATGCCCTGAGTGGAGAGGACGGGGCTTCTTGACAGAGTCAGCAGGTCAAACACCAGCCCTCCCCTTTGGAGCCGTGAGCCCTGCAAAGGCAGGTGCAATGAGAACAGCCCTTGTCCTTGACACACCTTCCAGTCACTAATGGCTCTTGTGTGGCTCCAAGCACGGGAGTGATGGAGCAGTGAAGCACACTGGGACTGTGATGTGTGCTGGTAGGTCTTCGTGGAAGGTGACAGTCACCAATCAATATGCTAACTACGGTTAGAGCCCTGCTGATCCCTGCTTGTTTTGAGAGAGGAAGGTGTTAACACAGAACTCAGGGGCTGGTGCTGTGACAGAGCAGCTGAACTTGCCTCCTGCAACAGCATCATGCATATGGGTGTGGTTGAGTTCCGGTTACTCTGCATATGATCCTTGGCAGGCATCAAACCAAGCCCTTGGACCCCCTGACATTTATGGGAGACCTAGAAGAAACTCTTAGCTCCTGATTGCAGTCTGACCCAGTGCCAGTAGTTGAGGCCTTTTGGGAAGAAAACCAGGGAATGGAAGATATATTTCTTGTTCTCTCTCTTTCTGTCTCTATCCTTTTTCTCTCCTTGTGCTCTAATTCTGATTTCAATTAAATAAACTAGATATTGTTTAAAAATAGACAGAGTTCAAGGGCAGGAATTTGGTACAGTGGATAAGTCACCACAACGTGTATCACCATCCCTAGTCTTAATGTTGGGGTGCAACACCATTCTCGCTTCCTGTTTATGCACACCCTGAAAGGCAATAATGAAGCTCAATAGGTGGACCCTGTACCAACACAGAAAACCCAGGTTGAGTTCCACGTGGCTGTCGTGGGCATTTGAGAGGTAAACCAATTAATAGAATATCTTGCTCAGTCACCATTTCTCTCTATTAAGTAAGTTAAAATATTTAGGAGAGTACAGGCTTCCAGGAGGATCATGGTTTGATGGTAAGCCATCAACTGAGCAATGTCTCTTCTTTCTGTATAGAGAGAATCAATCAGAAGAGAGGCAGCAGCCATAAAGATCCAGGCCTGGTGGCGTGGCACCCTGGTGCGCCGCACGCTGCTGCACATGGCTCTCAGGGCCTGCATCATCCAGCGCTGGTGGAAGATGACCCTGCTGAGAATGCTGGAGAAGAAGCGGCGAGCTGCGCTGCAGGCCTACGCACAGAGGGAGAGGGCAGTGACCAAGCTCCAGTCCTTGGTGCGCATGTGGCGCGTCCACTGGCGATACTGCCAGGTGCTCAATGCTATCTACGTCATCCAGTGCCACTGGCAGTGCCATAACTGCCAGACATGTGCACAACTCCAGTGCCACTGTGTGGTCACCACCACCCACCTGCAGTTCCACATCGAGATCATCAACTCCTAAGGGTGTTGATGAGCCAACAGTCTCCTGTCCACAATAAACTGCTACTCAGATCTAGTGTGCTGCCTATGGTCTTCTGGCTAAGAGAAAATGTAAAATTTCAGCTTTACTGCCCTTCCTCTTCCTCCCTCCCTTAACCTTCTTCCTCCTCCTCATCCTTAGCCGTAATATCAGTGAACTGTGCCAGCAGGGTCTGTGCACCTTGGTTTAGAGTGACAGTAGCTGCATGCCACTCACTCCATTGTCACAACAGAAACTCTCCTGCTGTGTGACAAAGCTCAAAGTTCCAGGCCGGTCCCTTTCAGATCATGAGACACCCATGATACAGGCACATCACCTTCCTGAAGAGCGTGGGCTCCTCCACACACGTCTGGACAGACTGTGAAAAATGGCTCTGACAGCACAGGCCAGGGGCAGCTGGGCCTTTGATGCCTCAGTTTACTCCTTGGCAAGGACGGAGAGAGAACATCAGGATACAGCTGATTCTTCCTGGAGCCTGAACAGTACAGCCCAGATGAGTACCAGGAAGTGCCCTTAGAGGTAGAAGAAGGATGGACTGCATCTGCTGATGGGCAGGTGATGATCCTAAGAACTAGTGATTTCTCAGGTTAGAACACCTCACTTTTAGCTTGGTTTCCTTCTAGGCACATTTGGCCTGTCTGCTAATGCTGCTGCTGCTGCTGCTGCTGCTGCTGCTGGATTCCTCAGACAAGATGAGGTCTCTGCGCCTCAGTCCAGACATCCCAGGAAGCCTGAGCTGAGGAAGATCCTGCACAGCCAGTGGAGATCTCTGGCACCAGCTCCTTCCTTCATGGCAGCATGACTGAGGACCAGAAGGCACAGGAGGAGAGGCCAGGACACGGTGCCAGACCAGCCACCCTGAGCTGGGAATGGCTCTGGTTGGTGGGAAGCAGGAAGGCAGACCAAGACAACAGTGGGGCAGACTCCACTCTGTGGAAGACATGCTAAGGCCGATGTCACAATCAATTGTGAACTCACACCTCTCCCCTCACTCATGTCACTCATGTCAGGCCTTAGGAAGCAGAGAAATCTGGGCTAAGGAACCATCTAGAAGCAGACCATGGGATCTGGATTTTGTGTAAGAGACATGACCACATGTACCTGGGAGTTAGGGATGGGTGAGCAACAGCTGGGCTCCACAGGTCTCACACAAGAGAAGGCAGATGCAGAGGCTTTGGACAGATACCACACTGCAGTCCTAACCCAGCTGTGTGCTTCCCATTTTTCCTCTGATGACAGATCGAGAATGATGTTGAAGAAATAACTTACTGGCAAATTCAACAGAGAAGGAAAAAGCAGCAGGTGGGTACAATTTCTTGTTGTTAGGGAAACCAGGACATTGATGTGCACATCCCTAGGATGTGGATTTTTGTCCTTGGTGGATTCCTTGTCTCAACTCATCAAGCATCAGTAATTCATTTCCACTTCCCCTCCTCAGCTTGGTCCCACTGAGTCAGGCCTGATAGTCACATAGAGGGTCACGGTGGAGAAGCAGGGTCATCCTCTACGACATGGGCAGAGATGGGAAGATGTGGGGACAGTTATTACAAGAGCAGAATGTTCTGAATGTGTGGTGATCAGAGCACGTGCTGAGAGAACAAACCTCATCAAGACTTGGCCACCACTGTTATATGGCTCCAGCACAGTGAAGCATGCTGGGACTCAGAGGATGCAGCGATGGGGCTTCCTGGCAGGTCACGGTCACTGTCAATATGCTGGCTCCTGTTAGAGCCCTGCTGATCCCTGCTCTGTCTGAGGGAAAACTGGTGTTAACACAGAATTCATGGGATGGTGCTGTGGCAGAGCAGGAAGATCACCTCCTGTAATACCAGCATCACACCAGGGTACCACTTTGAGTTCCGACTGCTCCACATCTGATTCTAAGTGGCCTAAGTGCTTATGGAACACTTATAGGAAACTTCCAAAAGCTCTTGGCTTAGGGCTGGCCCAATTCTGGTCATTGAAGCCACTGGGGAAGTAAACCAGGGGGAGTAAGATCTCTCCCAAACTGTGTGTGTGTGTGTGTGTGTGTGTGTGTGTGTGTGTGTGTGTGTGCCTGCTTACTCTCTCATTCTGCCTTTCACATTAAAAAAAAAAAAAAACTTTAAAAGAGAGAGAGAGAGAAAGAGAATTCAGGGGCAGATACTTGGTGCAGTGGCTTAGTCACCACTCCAGGTACCCCCAACCCAAGTCCCAATGTCCATTTTCAAGACATGGCTCTGCTCACCAATTCAGTTGCCTGCTTATGCACACCCCGCGAGGTACGAGACTCAAGTAGCTGGGTCTTAGCATCTATCTGGGAGCACCAGGTTGGATCCTAGCGTTAGATGACAAGACATGAACTGAGCAATGTCTCTTCTTTCTGTCTAGAAAAAATCAAAGAAAAAAGAAACAGCAGCAGCCATAAAGATCCAGGCCTGGTGGCGTGGCACTCTGGTGCGCCGCACGCTGCTGCACATGGCTCTCAGGGCCTGCATCATCCAGCGCTGGTGGAAGATGACCCTGCTGAGAATGCTGGAGAAGAAGCGGCGAGCGGCACTGCAGGCCTACGCACAGAGGGAGAGGGCAGTGACCAAGCTCCAGTCCTTGGTGCGCATGTGGCGCGTCCACTGGCGATACTGCCAGGTGCTCAATGCTATCTACGTCATCCAGTGCCACTGGCAGTGCCATAACTGCCAGACATGTGCACAACTCCAGTGCCACTGTGTGGTCACCACCACCCACCTGCAGTTCCACATCGAGATCATCAACTCCTAAGGGTGTTGATGAGCCAACAGTCTCCTGTCAAAAGTAAACATCACTCAGATCTGGTGTGCTGCCTATTGTCTTCCAGCTAAGAGAAACTTCACCTTTGGGCCTTGCTGCCCTTCCTCCCCCTTCCTCCCTTTACCCTCTTCCTCCTCCTCCTTAGCCGTAATATCAGTGAACTGTGCCAGCAGGGTCTGTGCACCTTGGTTTAGAGTGACAGTAGCCGCGTGCTACTCACTCCATTGTCACAACAGAAACTCTCCTGCTGTGTGACAAAGCTCAAAGTCCCAGGCCGGTCCCTTTCTTCTCATGGGGCACTGGGGAGACGAGGGCGTATCACCTTTCTAAAGACCCTGGGCTCCTCCACACAGACTATGAGCAGACTATGAAAAATGGCTCTGACAGCATAAGCCTTAGATGCCTCTGTTTTCTCCTTGGCAAACTAGAGAGAGAATGCCAGGATACAGCTGACTCCTCCTGAGACCTGAACAGTGCAGCCCAGTTGAATACCAGGAAGTGCCCTTAGAGGTAGAAGGAGGGTGGGCTGCACCTGCTGACAGGCAGGTGATGGTCCTGGGGACTAGAACATCTGAAATTTACAGCACCTCCATTTTTGTTCAGCAAACCCCTGGATCCAAAACCTCTTCCCAGGACCTGTGTAACAAACAAGGTCCTCTCTGATATGACCCCACCACTACTCATATCTCCATTCAGGGTGCTTTATCCTTGACCAAGATGACACACAATCTAACCCCTCAATTCTTCCCTCAAATAAGCCAATCCCATGTCCCTCCTCAGTCACCCACTGTTAGGGCTACCCTAGCGCAGCATCATTCAATAGAACTTTCTGTGAGGACGGAGAGGTTCTCCATCTCTACTATCCATTATGGCATCCAGTAGCCATGTGGGCTGCAGAGCCCCTGAAATAAGATAGTGTGTGTGTCACATTTTATTCAAACGACCACAGATGTTAGGGGTCACTGACTGGGCCCGTGAGGTGCTAGACCTCAGCAACATGATTGTACTACTGCTCAAGTCTTTCTCTAGCACTCCCCCTAGCAATTGCTTCCTTCTTTCCCTATGGTTCAGCAATTTCCAAAGACCATGCTTCAGGTGTCTTAAGGTCTACCAATTGACCCTACCCATTATTTTTCACCCACTTTTGATTTATCCAGTTCAGACATTTTTTAAGACGTTGGTTTGTTTAAAGTAAGAGGGAAAGTCATAGCCCAGGTTGAAGTCAAAAGCCAGGAGCTTCTTCCAGGTCTCCCCTGTGTGTAGCAGAAGCCCAAGGACCTGGATCATCTTCTGCCCCTTTTTCCAGGTGTAACAGCCGAGAGCTGGATCAGAAATGGAGCCATCAGGACTCAATCCGGAGCCCCAGTGGCATGCTAGTGCTGCAGCTTTACTTACTGACACAATGCAGACCCTAGATTCTTTTCACTGAGAGAATCTGGCCCCTGCACACCTTGACTTGCCTTTCCCACCTTTCCTCCGCCATACTGCAAACACATGCGGCATGGACCCAGACATCTCCCAGTCCTGCACCTGCAAAATTGGGCAACATGACTTGAGGGAAACCAGCAGTCATGTCTCCATTTACTGTCCTGACTACATATCCCAACGAGACATGTTTTCCCATAAGTTTTTCTGATACTTTGCATTTACATTTCCTATGCTGAATAATTCATACCACCTCCTCTCCAACTGTCTGATTCTACTTCTTCTCTGCCTGAACTCCACTTATGATGTCACCACCCACTCAACTGAAGGAAGCCTGGACTGCCACCTTCTCATCAACTCGTTTCCATCCCACAAATGCAGCTGGCTTCCCTCGAGGCGAAACAAATGACAGATCTTTGTCCCCATCAAAAGCAAACCATCAATTAATATAAAAAAAAGCTATTTAAAAAAATCCAACACTCATTCATGATTTTTTAAAAGTGCAACAGGCTTGAAACAGATACCACCTCAAATTGATCGAGAGAATCAAAGAGAAACCTGTCATAGTTAACACTGAACGATTGGAATGCTGCTGCTTCTAAGATGAGGGACCAGGGCACACACACTTCTGTTCACACACTTCTGTACAGAAGTTTCCGCCAAGGCAATTAGGCAAGAAAAGGAAGAAAAGGCATGCAAAATGGAAGAGAAGATAGAAAGCCATCCCGACTTTCAAATGACATGGTTATCTGCATAAAACATTCTGAGGAATGTTTTTTAAAAAATGAATGATACTGGGCAAACGGAGACTCCATGAGGGACTGTGTCAATCAGTGGATTCT